AGGGATATACAGCTATTTCGAGAAAGGTTGTTGGACAAAATGTGCACGCGACAATCCCGCGGAAAGGTAATATGTGATATTATCAATACACTGTTCCTGACACTGTGGCTGTCGAACCTACTTTTGTTGCTTTCTTTTAGCACCCGCAAACATACTTCCGTGGCCTCTCGTGTCATTCTTTCAAACTTCTTTGAATAACAGTGAATTCGAAACCACCCACAATACCTTTCGGGATTGTCGCGTGCCCTTTTTCCGACAACCTTTCTCGAAATAGCTGTATACTAGTAATAACCAAAGGCTACAGAGTGCGGGTGACATCGATCGAACGTCAAAACGCTTTTTGCGCAAACGCTGTGGTTTGCGTAAGTTTCACGTGATAGACGGTCAAAACACGCGTGATTTTAAAAACTAGGAGAGATAGAAGGTCCAAACGCGCGTGACTACATTAGCGTTCGCTGCATTCCATTTATTCTCGGCTTGCACTGTCACGCAATGAAAAATAAAAATGCAAACCATTCAATACAGAAGAACTAGAATCTGGGAAACGAAAAAAGATAAATATACAAAAACCCTTGTCAAGAAACAGGTCTGTGAAATATTTCAAATGCGAGATATTGGGAAAAACGGTTTACCTAAATTTATAAAGCTTTGTATGGAAACGCCATGTTGGTGTCCCTTTCAGGAACACCAATATGGCCGCCGGATACCAACAGAAACATCTGTTTTCGAGTTTTCCTAATAATGCGTGAATTCTTCGCTTGAGGAACTCATAAAGATTACAGTAATATTTATTCTGAGACAAGGAATGTTTAGATTGCAAAATCTCCCAAAATCCGTCATGTTTTTAACCCAGCTTTCCCGGCCGCCAGCTAAATGCCGCGTCACGCAAAAGCCTGGAAATTCATGGCCTCTCTCGCAAAACGAAGAACCCTTTTGAACCAAAAAATTGTTTATGTAAAGGTGTTTAGGTACTGTAATAACTCATGAAAGTAGAAACTCAGAAGAATCGATAGTTTCTTAGTTTCATTTTTGGTGACGTCACGTGCAACCCAAGAATTCTTAGTGGAAGTCCAAACAAAGCTGGCTACATACACGAGACGCATGCGTAATGACAACCTGGAGATTAGGATTGCGGGCTCCTCTTGTCGCCCGCAATTAATTGACAGCTAGCATTATCTCACCAGCTTCCTATTAAAAGACCTTGGTTGGTTTATTTAATTGATTTTACTTATTTGCACTAAGTCTGTGTTAACTACTAGTCATGTGCCCACTTGTGTCGCTGTGGAATTTTTAAATGAAATTAGTACTTTATCGATCCATTTAAAAATTCTCGGAGCCTTTCTTATGGTTGGTTTGTTAATGAAATTGTTGTTACATAACATCACCAAGTTCAAGTTTAACCTGGATTTGTTGCTTGTGTCTTCACCGAACATCACCTAGTTTGTCAAAAGTTTGAGTGAATAGAACGTACGTTCCACGGTTTTTTAGTCAACTTTTGACCAAGGTAGGGAAAATCCGTCGACTTCACATGAAAGAGCATCATTCTTAAGATTAGTAAAATTGCCAAGTGTGAAGCCACACCAAATCGCTGGGTTTGAATGTTTACAGATCGAAGTAACATGTGAATTATAAGGAACAAACACCGTAAGAAGTGGGGGTTGGGGGTTAGTCAAAAATTGTTCCTTCACCCCTCCATCAGGACAGCTGAAGAAGACGCGACACAGTTAGAATAAAAGACAAATTGGGGGGATTTATTTATTGCCATTATCATCATTATTGTTATTATTACCACAACTGTCATTAACTTTGGCGTATAATATCTTTATCACCTGTTTTTGACCACAGCAGAGCATACTAGAACTTTAAAAAAGGTGGTCCGAATGACTGATCATTTTTGTAAACTTGCACTTTTCAGGTGTCTGGGATCGCTAACTCAGATTACCCTTACTCGTTTTTCGTGCAAAATTTTTATTTCAAAAAGTTAACTTTGATCCTAAAAAAACCTGAAATCATTGTGTCACATCAGATCAACCTTGTACTGTCCCCTTGACGATCAAAAACCACTCGAAAAAGAATCCTTTTGAATGAAAAGTATGAAGAATGCTTATATTATTACAAATCACGACAAAGTTATTGCAAATTACGCCAAAGTTTTACAAATTGCGACAGCTATTACAAATTTCCACAAACTAATTATAAATTATTCAGTATTACAAATTACGACAAAACAGACGTTTCAATTACAAACTTGGCAAGTTCACTAATTTTAAGCCCTCTTTCAATTAGTGTCCCCGAAGTTTCCTTAAATGGCCCATGAAAAAACCGTGGAAGAGTCTATTATTTGCCCATAACTAATCATTGTGTTTTATCTAAAGAATGAGCACCCGAACTGACCAAGTTGGAGTGCGTTTAATTTAACTCTGAGGGAAATTGTGTACAGTTTATCCTAAGCAGGAGCCCATAACCCGGAGCGTTCAACTGCCATAAATTCGTGCAACGGCGTTTTCACAAGTGAGTTTATTTTTAGATAAGCTTTTGCCGCAAAAAATAACTGTTCCACGAGGTCAATTCCGCCATTTGATCGTCGTTTAGACTGTTTGTAGCTCGCTTGGACCTTTTCACAGTCGGCTATTTCGAAGATCATTTCGATTTAATTCCCTTTGCGTGAATTATGCGTTGTCGCCGATGAAGTAGACGTCCTGGCTAGGTTTTGCAAATCTTGCTCTGAACTGCTAGTTTCCGTGTAAATACTGAAATTGTCGCCTATAGTACTGTCAGAAGACTCCTCTGAAGATTCCTCACGTGTGTCCGCCAGGTTTTTTTCAATGTCAAGGAGTTGTCCTAGTTACGTATTAAAAGATTATCATTGATGAAGCAATTGCTAGTGATTGGCTTTTCAAAAGCAATTCGCGGGAAAGGCTTATCTAAAAATAGACCTACTTGTGAAAACGCCGTTGCATAGGCGCAGTATGGAAGTTAGACGCTCCGGGTTATGGGCTCCTGTCCTAAGACTGAATAAGAGTTCTTAATTTTCCTTAAAACAGTGGCAAGTACTAGTATAGTAGTTATTTGTGTTGAAAAAAAAAAGAGAGAGAAAAAAAAAGAAAAAAAACTCTTGTTACAGCTGTTGTTAAACAGTCGTTATACAGTTTTCTCTATTTTTTAGTTTCTTCATGTTTGAGGATTGAATAAAAAACCATTCTATTCAGTGTTTTTCATCCTAGTAATCTCTGTCATCCAAGTAATCCTAGTCATTCCACTCATCCAAAGTTAAGTCATTCCTAGTCATCCTGGTCATCCCTTTTATCCCAGTCATCCCATTCATACTAATCATCCCAGTTATCCCTCGTCATTCAGTTATTCCAAGTCATCCAAGTCATCCCAGTTACCCCTTGATCCCAGTCAACCCCAGTCATCACAGTCATTCCAGTTATCGCAGTTTCTCCAGTCGTTTTGTTTATCCCTTCCATTTTAGTTACCCCTAGTCATCCCAGTCATCCTTAGTCATTCCAGTTGTCCCAGTCATCCCTATCCATCTCACTCATCCCTAGTCACTCAACTTATCCCGGTTACCCCTTGACCCCAGTCAACCCTAGTCATCAGAGTCATCCCAGTCATTGCAGTTTTTCCGTGCAGTCATTTCATTTGTCCCTGTCATCTCAGTCATCCTTAGTCATACAAGTCATCGTAGTCATCCCAGTCGTCCCAGTCGTCCAAGTCATCCCAGCCATCTCGCTTACCCTATTCGTCCTAATCATGTTGGTCACCCTAGTCATCCTAGTTATCCCAGTCTATCCTGTTATCCCAGTAAAGCAAGTCATTCCAGTCGTTTGCTGCCATCCCATTCAGCGTAGTCATCCTCTTCACCATAGTCACCCGGCTCAATCACTGTAGTCAGCCTTATAGTCAACCTGGTCATCATAGTTTCCTTAGTCTCCTTAGTAACTATGGTCAGCATAGTCTTCCTAGCTAGTCATCCATGTCGTCCGCGCTCGTTACCATTTCAGCTTGCTATCTGCGCGTTGTTTAGATAAAAATACTTTAAAGAAACAAGGTGAGTTAAATCACTGTAAACAAACGTGATTGCTATTTTTAAAAAATGACTTTTCATTTTTGCGTTTCTTTTTTTCTTTTCTACGGTTTTCCCTTTTTCTTTGACAAAAAAGGATATCTCAAAGAAAGATTGAATCTTTTCTCAGCTGTATTTTTCTTGCTTGAGAGGAGTTTCCTATCTTAAGTAAGTTCTAGTAATCTCTCTCATGTCATTTGCAGAGTCCTCTATAATGTGCGACGTACACATATAAAATAAACTTCGTCGGGAGCCTCTCGTGTATAATGAAATATGGTATATGGCCAAGCCCCCCATTTTCAGCGTTTTCGGTGGTTGAAATGTCTGATGTCATGAGAATTTCTATTTCTTTTCCATGGAAAAGTAGACATAAATGTTCTCTAGTGCAAACAGGTTTCAATGATTTTTTGTTAGCACTGTGCAGGTGGTAGGAATACTGTGTGAACAGCCTGCTTGAGTTAGTGACATCCCATGACCAGGGATCTAAATGAAAGAAAAAATGTTTTTGAGTCAGGTGGCTTTTCACAGCAATTTAAGAGCTCTTGGGGTCAGACTGCTACAGATGCTGCTACAAATTGCGTCTTACCTATTTCGCTTTTTTTTCGCTATTTTAGAGCTAAGAATCCTGCCATCAAAAAAGAACATCGAAGGGCCAAATTAACAGCTTGATATTTATTTATAACACCTTGATAACACACTTTAACTAAGCAAAGATCTTTTCATTCAACCCCACACGTAATTGTATTTCCATCTCTCAAGTGACGGAAACATTCTGAATGAAATTCACTTTTGTATTCCCCCGGCAATGGCCCATTTCAAGATATTTAGATAACATTCAGATGGTAAAATATTTATTCAAGTTGCCAGACAAATTGAGCTTAAGGGATATAAAGAACTAATTTGCCATTGGAACTCCTAAATACTGAAGCTACCCTGATATGAAGGCCATGTGGTTCCTGTTCCTGCTTCCTTTAGTGGGAGCTCAAATTGGGTCACATCGACCAGAAGGTATAATGTACAGTCCTTAATTGTTCTTGTATAGCTACAGCGTGAAAGAAAAGGCATGTACGGCAAACTGTTTATTAATTTTTACAGCAAATGTGTTGGCTATAGTCGTGATAGATTCAGCACACTTGTATAACTAATATATTGAGCGTCAAATACTTATCTCACGCTTGAGAGCAAAAGATAAAAGAGAATACGATCTACAGTACTTGTTTCATAACTGGGTTAGTTTTTAGGTAAGAATATTTCGCTTATGTCGCACCTTTCTGAGTGGATTTAAGTGGTGTTTTCCTTTATTGCAAGAAAAACCTCAAGATCTCACCACACGCCCACGTACTATAAAACGTAAAAGAGTTAAAACTCTCTTTACAAGTTCAGACCGCGGCACCAACTTAAGGTACACGGAGTTTTTTCAATAACAGGTTTTCCCTTAGCTACCGGCTTGAAGCTGGCTAGTGTGTAACGGACTGTTTCAGAGAAGTTTCAGTTCAGGGCGATCTCAGTCGTTTAAGCGCGGTATAAGCTAGGGTTTCTTGGTTATCATTCAGCAAAGATAAAGTGATCACCTGACGTGTGTTTCAACACTGATCAGCTGGTACTGACAGTCAATTTTCAGTGGTCACAACATTAGAAGAAACAACTTAGCAAGAGCAATATGCACCTTATTCAGAGTGTTAAGAATATATTAGCACGAAAGTACTAACTGAGGACACTTTCTTTGTGTCTCCTACTGGAGACGGATCCACGTTGTTACGTGGTAATCCGAACCATAGGCGTAGCCAGCTTACTTTCATTTCCACATATCCTGAAAATTGCACGCATGACTAGTACTCACTGACCTCCCCAACACTCCCAGCTTTTTAGCTCACCCCAACAATGCATAATTTATTACAAGCAGTACAGTGATCAAACCATTGTAGGCCCGGGCCTACAGGTCTATGGGCGGGCTACACCCATGCGAGATACGCGAAAGTCTAACCGTTTGCAGGGCAAAGTAATTATTTTCATTTCTCAGTTATTTTAAGGCCCCGAGTATTGGTCCGGCCCCGGGAATCGAACCCTCAACCTCCCGCTCTGCAGTCAAGCGCTCTACCGAATGAGCTAATCCTGCCGCGGTTGATATGAGCGCAATGTTGTTTTCCTATTTCAGAGAATGTTGGTATCAATGACCCAAAGTTATTTGAAGGTGATATGATCCTTACGGATGCTCAGCGAATGGCAGCTATGCTCGGTGATGACGTCAGCAAAGCGGGATTAGGCAGGGCGTCTATTCGTAAGAATCTGTGGCCTGGGGCAGTACTTATCTATCAGCTGGATCCAGCCATAGGTATATATGAATCAACTTATTCCCCTATGGACGAAGGCCTTACATTAGATAAAGATTAGATTAATCGTTTATTGATTGAAAACACTCGGCGTTCGATAAACTGAATTACCCGTAAGGTATAAAGGATGGTAAATGATTTTCAAAAAGATGGGGAAAAAAAAAGAAAAACAGGAAAAAATATGCTAATAGAAATATAATATAGTTCCATATGCGTGTCTTGCTCTAAAACACGTCCGTCAAGTCAACCTCTTGTCTACGTATTGCCGTGGCTGATAATCAAAGTGTTCTTACATCTGTTCGTTCTGCAAACAGGGGCGTTAATGACACAAAAGTTTTGTGACAAAGTGTGCTGATTGGTTCTGGGAGGGAAAAGGCGCTAACTTGTGGTCGTTGTTGCTCACTATTTTCTTGAATAAGTCCGACGACAGATTTTCTGGCCTCACCTGACTACCAAGGTGGGGATGCCGGCTGCTTTAGGTGCATCCCTTAAGCTAAGCTGAGTGAATATAATCCTCAAAGCCCGCCACTGTATCTTTTATACTGTATAATTATTAATTAAACACTTTTTCTCTTCATAACACCTTTCAAAATAATCACGTACTAAAATAGGATTACTACTGACCTATAGAGCTCTCAATAACTTTAACGCTTTCACTCCAAATTAACAGGTACGGTACCACAATGTTGCAATTACATTTTCTATAACTGCATTAATTTTATAAATGGACTTGGCAATTTTTTTTCCCTCAGAACGAAATTCTAAAGCAATGGCAGCTATCAATAAAGCGATGGAATTATGGAGAACCCAAACTTGTGTGCGGTTCAAGAAAAGAACAAACGAAAATGCCTACGTATACATTCACATTGGCAGTGGGTAGGCTGTATATCACTTTGATGCTATTATCCACTTTTTAAAGTGCAAGATTTCTGTCGAACCTTTCTTAGGGAAAAAATTAACCATCAAAGCTTGCTATCAAGAAAACGTCCAAGTACAAAGCAAAACAAAACAAAGCAATAAACAGTAAACAAAAGTAAGACTTCTGGTTGTCCAAATATTTTTCGATGTTATCGTGAAATTGTCATCAGCGTGATCTAAAATTAATGCTTAAGAACTTTTCTGTCTTGGGCTACAACTTTAGAACTGAGTAACAAAGCTATTATAAAAATGAATTGACTTTGCTTTTTCATAATGAAATAATGACCAGCATGACTTTAGATGTTTGGATCTGCTGAATTCAGAATAACGCGTACGTTTTTTAATTTTTCAGTTGTACTTCGCATGTGGGCAAAACTGGACAAAGGCAAATGTTATCCCTCGCCAGAGGTTGCTGGTACACAGCCACAGTTGCACATGAATTCGGTATGTTATGCAAACTAACTTGCATCCGTATACTCATAGTAATATTATATAAAATGTCTTGAATCTGATTGGCAGAGAGCAATCCAGTTAAAAATAAGCACAGTGAAAAAAAAGGAAATATAAAAAATTCGCTTTAATTTAAGTCGTTTTAATTAATTTTTTTAAACGCTAATTTTCGCGCCGTTAACTAAATCAGTGGAGCGTTTATTACTGCAACGTTAATTTCCTCTATTTTGGCCCTTAATTCTCCATACACTTCTGACATTCTTAACAGCTAAGAAAGAGGGGTATTTTATCAGGCTGGAAATCCGCCAGAAACAGTGCAACTGCGAAGATCCCTCGAAGTGGCCAGATTTCTTCGCTTGTCTCCCCTCGTACGTTTACAAAGTTATACGTCTTACTTTGTTCATGTCGCCTTAACAAGTTTTGTTTTTTTTAAATTTCCTTTTTTTCAAAGTCGTTTTTTTTTATGAAGCGTTAATTTCCTATAATAAGGCAATACAATCTCAAAGCTATAAAATGCAAATGTCTCGGAGAATGAAGCTCTGTGATTGGATAATAAACAATAGAAAGACATAAGAACCAATCAGGTGCCGCAATGAGAGTCCGTCATTTCGGGATGATGGGCTCATGTTTCGTAGGGCTCAATGGCGGGCCTTCAGGATGTCCAGTCCGTAGAGGTAATTACTCGAACAGTGAACTGACCACTTGAATATTATTGTTCTTTTTTCAGGTCATGCCTTGGGCTTCTACCATGAACAGTCTCGTCCTGATCGCGACGATTATGTAATAATTAACTGGAATAACATACAACAAGGTTGGTACTAATTCTAGCACATAATTTCCACAACACAATTTTAGCATGCGTATTACAGTAATTATATAAAGCCCGAACGCTTTATAGCGTTCTGTAAGCTTCAAAGATTTACTGGTAGTATGATGTTTTTTTATCGTTTTGAAGACGGCTTATCCATTTTATTTCAAAAAGCAACCACTTCAGGCTCGTAAGAACCTTTTTTTCTAACGAAAGAGAAAGGAAATAATTAACTTTTTTCGTGGGAATATGCAGTCGTCAGTTCTTTCATTACGCAAAGCCTCCTTTAGCGAGGTCGAGCGTTGCGTGACAAGACTGAAAACGGCTGCGTGGTAGACTAAGGAATACGAGGCTGTTTTTATTCTTAAGTTTACGTAATGGTCAAAACTATTTTAAAAAATAGAGAGTGCATTAATCTTTTTATAGCGTCTTTTTGTAGGACCGGCGTTTGCATTTAACAAGTATCCACGCTCCATTATCGATTCCCTTGGCACGCCATACGACTACGGAAGCGTGATGCACTACGAAAGTTTCGCTTTTAGCAAAAACAAGCGACCAACTATTGTTGCTAAGCGACAGGGGGTATTAATATTTCTTCCACAGTTGTAATTTGTGGTAACTTGTTTAATATGCTTTAGGGAGGAACTGTTAGTCGTTAATGTTTCTCAGGGTAAAACTTTTTACACCTTTTCCGTACATTTCGCAAAAGAGAGATCCAACTCAGTGTATCTTTGACTGTGTAGGGTACATACTAAACTATCTTTCCTTTCGTCTGGCGTATTATAGTTTTTTTGTCGCACATTGAAAACTGCTTGTGACGATATACAAGGTGCAAACATGGCAAATAGGGAGTTTTCCATGTTAAGTTACTGACATGATAAGCGGAAACATATTTTGTTACTTCGTAAAAACATGTTGCTTTCTTTCCTCTGATGATTGACATCTTACAGGATTTTCATTAATTTTGTTATAGACCTATTTCCCTGATAAGCCGGTTTTCTGTCCCTTAATTACTTGGTTTTAAGTTTTACATGTTAATTTTGTTTTGCTTTTGCCTTCTGTCAGTTTCATAAGAAACCGTCGTTAACATCTATGATAAAATCCTTCACACCTACGTTTTTATGATTATATATATTAAACTCACTAGAAATTAAACTACCCATGATTGCTGATGGCTGAAATACAGGAAAAACCAGTCGGACTAAGAACCTGAACCTGTTAGGCTAAATTTTGCCAGTCCAAGAACCGGTAATAGGTTATTATTTTTCTTTATTTTCTAAAATGCATGCTTAAAAACATTTTGTACACTTGGTTAATAAGATAAGTCGATATTCAGGATCCTCTAGGTGCCTTATTACGCCAACTTCAATTGTAATGGTATAAGGGTTTTACCCAAGGTCTGAGCTAAAGTACCACTAAATACTGTTAGCTACAATGTATTTTTTCTTTAGAAAATGAAAACCTATTTAAGAACCTAAATATCAAAAGTTTGTGCTAATAATTACTATTTGTGTAAGAACCTTTTTAGAGGCTAAATTGGGATAACGCAGGTTCTTAGTCGCGGGTTTTTACTGTATCTGCACTTCTTTGTTTCAAGAACTCATACGTTTGCCGTTGCTTGGTTCTAGGTTACGCTTGGTAACAGGAAGGGCCCATCCACGATAGATGTAAAGCAGATGAATTTGTTGTACAAGTGTAGTGGAGGAGGTAAGAAGAAATTCATAATTTTTCTAGAAGCATACTTAAATACTAAGTACTTACTTACTTGCTTACGTCTGGTGGACGCCTAAAAGACGGCGGGAAGAAAACTGATCCCGCAGGACTCGATCTCTCGTACAACTTTCAAGATCTCGAACGTTCTCCACCCAGTATCCCTCAGTAGTGTGTTTATAGCGGAGCACCATGGGTAACAAAATTTGGGGCGCTTTCCTTTCAACAAAAATTCCGGTTTGAAATTTCGAAAATTCCACGTGGCAATGGAACGGTCACATTCCGGTTGCACAGACCTGACCCTGGCACAGGTGGCCCAAACTCACGTTACGAGCGAAGGGCGATGCCGGTGTCGCGTTACAGGCGACCGTTGAAAACACGAGAGACTTTGTATGAGAAATATATTACTGAGATCTGCAAACGGCTAAATAACGCTAAAACGTTTCTTAAATAAAATGAATAAAAAAGACTTACCTGCAATCAGCTGCGCAATGTATTTCACTGCGTTTTGGTGTCTGTTTGTCGTTTTACTGGTTTTTTGGCTTTATTGCGTATCCAGTGTTACTCCTTTAAAGGCAATTTTGGCGAGTTAAGACCCTTTTTATAGGATTTATGGAGCTTCGTGCTGAGACGGTCGGCTTCAGACTCGAAAGCCTTCCATTATTTCTCAGTTATTGTTAGTACAACTCAAAATCTTAAACGCCGATAAAACGGCTTCCAAATGGCTCTAGAAGCAAAGAGACAGTAATTAGCAAAACAAAACAAAGAGGTGAGTCATTTTTATTTCTATTTTTTGTCAGAAAACGGAATTTAGGACATATTTTGCTATTTTCATTACATTTTCTTAATGTAATTTATAAATTCAAAGTCTAACGAACTCCCACAGGGTCTAGGCCGCCTGTGATTTTAATCATCTGCTGCTCCAGAAGACTCTCATCACGAAAAACATGTCCAGAAAGAGCAATTCTACTATTTTGGATAGAAGAGGTTACCTTTTATAGAATGCCATAAAACTCTTGAGGCATAGAGAAAACAAAATTTTAATAAAGTGCTTTAATTGGTTGTGGACTACTACTTGTCGACTATACTTCTATGATGAATGACTAGGAAATCTTTTCATTGGTATCAGAGAGAGATGATTCATGTTTGAATTCTCACATGCGTGCTTTTGTTTCTCTGGTGATGAATTTTGTAGGTTGTGATGATAAGAATGTCAACTGTCCTAACTGGGCGAAGAAAGGCTACTGCAAGGGCCGATATGAACGCTGGATGTCAACAAACTGTCCAAAAAGCTGCAAAAAATGCTAAGGTCAGCAGTTAATGTGATTTCTGAATGAATTGTACCTGAATTTTACTTTTGGGAACACCAGGATTTCTGCATGATCTATCTTTTCTGTCTTTCCCGTTTAATTTAGAGAAGACTTTATCCACCACAATTAATTCAAACTCATAGTACACGCTCAAGTTATTAGGTAATAACCTTGTTTCTCTGAAGAAAAAAAAATTAATAATAATAATAATAATAATAATAATGATAAATAAAAACCAATCTTTATTTAAGTATCAGAACAATAAGTAACATTTACAATTTCAAACTATATCGTATTGTTTACAAATTAAAAACTAAATATATGGCCACGATAGAAAACTATTTACAATTGTGAATAATTTAAAAGTGGAAAAAGGAAAATTAAGTAATAATAATAATAATAATAATAATACACTTTATTTAAAGAGGGTAGCACGGAATAGTTACAGAAGCTAGTAAACTTGTGGCCCTCTACAGACATGTTTAAGAGTGCATTTTTTTTTTTTTTATTTCCATTTAGGTTGGCAACCGGCACCACAGAGTAAAAGACGATCAGAGTTTCTTCTTGATTTAGAAATTTAATGACTTCTTTTCACAGATCAATATTTTCATCTGTTGACAGATTAAAGAGAATTAAACAAGCAAAACCAATATTAATAGATTTTATTTTATTTTTATTTATTTCACACAAGGATATCAAAATACACTTCTAGTTTTATGAAGGTCCTCCTTCACCCCTACTGATCCTACCTTTTAGCTTTTAAAACTGATCCCAAATGAATGCCAAAAATACTGGTGACTATAATCTGGTTTATTTGTTTGGTGACTCAGCCAGGCTGCCATGACATCTGTCGTCCACCAAGAATGTGGATATGAAGATGATAAACTGACTGGGCAGCATCCCGTCCGTTATTGATGACGACTGAAAGCAAACCGAAAAAACCAGTCCGATCCTAGGTGGGGAGGTGGGGAGGCGGGAAGGGGGCACTATCATCATGTTTTTCCAACCGCACTTGGAATTTTCAGTTTATTCTCGTGATTAACCCTTTAAGCACTAAGATCCACATATGAATTCTCCAGACTGATCGAATTCCTTAAAGAATTATTTGAGAGAATATGATAAAAGATTTAAGCATCTTTCAGCACAGGTAGCCCAGGCTCGAAATATATGAGCATCGACGAGCATCGGCATTGTTGCGTAACATTCAAAATATAAGGATTTGTATGGGGAAAAAACCTATCGTTTTTGGTAACCTACGAAAATGAAAGGATTTCAATAAAAACATCTTACCTTACTTAAAATGTGTGTTACGACTCTCCTGTGTGGTCCACGGGCCGATTTATGGCCGTTTTATGGGTTTTTATGTAAACGGTTTTCTCTCTATAAACCTTCATAAATATCAAGGTGGCTCGATAGGGTTTTTCAGGGTCAATACCTCCCAAGTTTATACATAAACTACCTGGCTATTAACAAAGAAAACTGGCAAAATTACTACCACAGATGTATTAGATAGAGCATTTCTGATAAGAGGGTTTGTTACGGCGCTTCACGACTGGCCCTATTCTTATGAGTGCATGATGGTTGGATGCGGGCATGTCGAAAGTTGGCAAAGAGCTTTGACAGCAGTGAAAGAGCAGTTCGGACTTGAAAGCCTTATTCTTCCTGAACAGGAAAATACTTTGAGATAATACTGTTCCTTGAAGGCCGAAATGTGTTTTTTAATTTGACGACTGGTTACCGACAGTCCTTGACTTTCCAGAGTCTTCTAATCACTGCAGTTGCACTGCCCATTATAAACTGTTCTTAAAAGCTAAAACAAAAGTATTTACCAACAGAGAAACTAATTAAGAACACCACGCTCCAGTCCAAAGACTCACTTATATCAGGAAAAACGAGATGGGCCAAATTAGACAGTTTCAACCCATCTTTGTGTCGTTTGTCAATCATTTCATTTGCCTTATGTCAAGCCCATAGCACTTGTCAGAATTCCTTAACAGGGTCTCTCTGTTGTTCATTAAAGGCTAGCTGTAAGGTCACTCATTTCACACTACCCTATGAATAGCACTTTTTTTTTTGTCAGACAAGCCAATCAAAAACATCAACAATTCCTTAACGATGAGCACACAAATTTCTCTGTACAGGCGGTCTGTTGTTCATTACTCCAAGTGTCTCAGGACGTATTCAACAAGCTGATGTCTCATTATTCTTCAGGTCACTCATTTCTTTGTTAATGATTTAATTGGTTGCCTGGATCCTTGCTCATTACTATCCCACAAGAAAATCTACTTGCAAAACTTTCGGATGAACTTTTCTCGAGCCCTGGACAGGAATTTCCTTTTGCGAACAAATCCCCCTTTTGTTGTTTTGATTTTTGGCGTTATAAGAGAACCAAATTAAGTGTCCAGAAAACGTAAAAGACCACAACGTAAATATATGAATGTTGCGCATGGGATCCGCACATTCAAAAACAGATAAAGGACATTTAGATTGCGCACGATATATAATGAATATAGCACAACTCCTGGAACTATTACGAAAATTTTGAATGATTTGAAATGGCCAACAATCCCGAGGGAAGTTTCTTAAGGTTAATCATTTGCATGTAGTTCTGATCGCACTCCGTTAGGCTAAAAAAGGAACAAATATGTAAATCATTATACTTCACAGGTGTTTTCAATACATTAGATTCTCATTATTTTTTACGAGAACCAAAATAGAACAATGGGTCATCTATATTCACCCATGCGCAAATAACCCCAAAATGATTTTTGAAATTTCCTAACGGCATCGTAGTTTCGAGCTAGTCTCTCCTGAACGATCATGGATCGCTTGTATTTAACGATACCTGATGAAAGTTACTCCTGCTAAAGCTGTTCGCTCCATTGCAAGGTGCATGGAATAACATTAGAACTGTATACCAACAACACAGTGAAGAAATTCAACTCGCGAATCAATATGGAACTGATTTGAAAGTGTAAGTGTTACAGCTATTACTATATCTCTTGCCTTTCTCTTGTCTGAACGAATTGCCAGAGATCAGCTGCCAATTGCATTCTATTTAGACTGTGAACTTCTTTCTCAACTGAAACCTTTCAGAGTGCTTTAGTTTAATCGACAGTGGTATGTTTTTCCTTTTTCTTTTCCCTCAGTTTTGAAAAGTAAAATTCAGTGCATGGTTGAGTGGTGAAGAACGTAACGAAGAGAGTTATCAGCTCATAGTAGAAAAACAGCAAGAGATTTGTAGAGGTAACTATCCAAGTAAAAAGTCACGACAATCATAAACTGACAGAAGGATAAAAAATGGTTTTAATATGGTAATAGAAAACTTGTCAGTTTTTTTTGTAGGATACCTGAGGTTACTATAACTTAGTTATGTTAGACCCTGTATCTTTTGTTATATTTCCAAATTTAAATAAAGTTGAAGTTGAAGTTGAAGTATGATTGATTTTCTCTGAACAATATTTGCTCCTGAGCGATTTTACATTAGGCAATATCATGATACTAATTAGTTTTCCGAGCATTATGCCAATGAGCAAATAGACTGCTTTATATAGTTGTTATCACCTATATACTTACGGTTTAAGTACTAGGGCTACACGGGAAAAACTTGCGGACAGAAAACGAAATGATTTTTTAAAAAACGCAAGTGCCTGCTGTAACAGCAAATCCGGCTCCCCTTAGCTTAACACCATCTTCCTCTTTCCTTGCAATTCTTACAACTTGCTTCAATGAATTTACGACTATATATCTTTCTCAGTCCAACACATAAGACAAAAACAAATTTCCTCGCTTTTAGTTAGATAATCAATAAAGGGTTAGGAATTATGTACTAGCTAAGATAACACGGCTTGTGTTAGATAATCACTGATTTCAAAAGCCCATTACGATACGATTCTGGCTGCCAGATAAAGAGTATTTCAAACAAATCGTATCCGACTTCTTCTCTAAAGAGTTCTTTGTTATGCTTTAACTATTTTTTTTGTCTTGTTCACTCATGTAGGCGAACGATCTAACAGAAGTACAGTCATTAATTGTTAAGTGCGGACCCAACTAAACCGGACGATTTTTAAAACGGTAAGTACTTGTAACAACCCCGATCCCGATCTTTTGTTAGTGACTTTATGAACTGACTACTCAGGATCTTGCCGTGAAAGTTCAGGCTACAGGCTTGGCAAAATGGCTCATTTGGTAACTGCTTTTTTCTTTACTTTTTACGCAGTCATCCAGGCGAACTCAAAATCAGTCAAAATCGCTGAAAATACCTTTTTTGAGGCAAAAAGGCAACAATGTACACTAGGTAAGGTAGTACACTGTTTATTTAACTTTAATCTGTATACATAGTTGGCGATATATTGCTATTCCAAGAACAAGAAGATTGTGTGGGGAGCCTGTGGTATAAACCATGAAGGAATCCTCGTCCCAGGGTCTACTGGTGTCCCGGCCAATATGGCGGCTCGGGGCTGTTAGTTTGGATCTTCCATCGCTCACAGAGTCAGTCAGTGTAGCAATGCAAACCTAATTTACGCTTAATAGTACCTACGACACTTTCAAGAAAGGACTCTGCAATATAAAACAGAAATACCAAAGACGTCCATAGAATTAGAAGGTCGGGACGGACATAAAGGTATACATATTTACAGGGACACCCAACGACGATTTCCTCCTTACTGCATTGAAATTATGAAGGAATTCCTCGTTCTGGAGTAGATGGCTAGGATGTAAAAGTAGGCAGTGATTGCCGGTTTTCACTTTCGCACCTTCCTATAGTTCCCCAGGAAGTAGGCGGCTCAAAACTCGAAGTAGCCAGTTTTTAGCTGGCTGCCTGCACTTAAATTTCTAGAAATGCATTCTAAGCGGGGCTATAAAATTTATATCTGTTTTGTCATCCTAGGGGAACTTGAGGCTTTTCAAAATTACAAGGGCTTCAGTTTTATTTTCCTGAAAGTATGAGGCCATAAGTTAAGTTCATTTCTTTATCACCTAGAGATATGCCAAGAGATCAGAGGCGCAGTTTAAAAAGATTTGACCAACAAGAAACAAGAAAGGTAAATACAATATTAAAATAATTTTATTCTATTTATATACATTAAGCAGTCTAGCAACACAGTGTAGAAGATACCAGAATTCATTGTCAAAACAAAATACACTTTAAAATTCAAACTGCATGATAAATGCCCGACCTATCCAATCGAACAGTTTGGCAATCGAACACCAATTGTTCGATTGCTGAACTCAATCGAACATAATCGAATTCACAATAAAATTTTGCCAATCGAACACAATCGAATGTTCAATTACCGAACGATTGGTAATCGAACCCAATCGAACGTTCGATTACCGAACGATTGGTATAATCGAACGTTCGATTAACGGACGCCGCATCGCATGATAGGCATGTGGTATTGAAAAATTCCGAAGGTGAAAGTGAAATCACCGCTAACTCCCTTCCCTTTTTACGCGGCTTTTGCTGAGCACTGAAACCCAGGACTGAAATGTCTGAAATGTCAAACACGGAGGAGAGGGAGGACACTGCATGTATTGAAATTACATGCAGTGTAAAAGGTTACCAAGACTGTAATTTTACTGTTGATGTGGGAGAAGAATTCTTTATCTTTAAGAAGATTGGCTCTAAGGGAAGAGCATTCAAGGTTACCAACACTAAAGGGCAGTTAGGACATCTTGAGCGGACGTTGGTTTTGACACTTTGGCCCTTTAAGGACGGGATGAAATGGAGAGTTATGATCCCACTTACGGGCACTTATGCTAAATGGATTTTGTTTTCACCGGGTTTTAAGGAGAAAATGGCCGTGTTTTCATGAGCGATTTTTCAAGTCGCTTAGCGACTTTCAACCGGAAATCTCGTGAAAACAGTTAGTTCGATTTTGTTCGATTTTGTTCGGTTTTGTTTGATTTTGTTCGATTGGTTCGAAAATCGAACTCACAGCAAAATAGGTGTTCGATTTTGTTCGATTGCCCAACCCAATCGAACGACTGGAGTTCGATTGGGTTCGATTGGTTTTTTGTTCGGTTTTGTTCGATTGGATAGGTCGGGTAAATGGCATAAGACATAATGCTGCCCCTCTCAAACATGCAAAGGAATACTCCAGTTTTAAACCTGTGAGAGCAACAATTAGGATGCAAGGGCATTCTGTTTGATGCCCTATGATATATTCTAACTTTCAAATAAAAACTTTGATTAACAAATATATACTTAGGTCAACTGGGATTCCATCCCAGCAAAGAAATGGGATACAGATTCTTCCTGAACTATTACATCCAAAGTCTGATATTTATATAAGGAAATATACACCAGCTCAACTGTTATGTATATTCAGTAAAGAATTGGGAGGCAGTAGCTTTCTGAACAATTGAATACGAACTTTAATTAGTTTTATGAGCATTATCCCAATGAGCAAATAGACTAAAATGAGACATGGGTGTTAGAGGATTAAAAGTAGAAATTGTATTGTGACAAATTCTCTTCCTAGCCTGCATTCACTTACTAAAATGAAAATTATTCCCTTTTTCACTTACTGACAAGAGTCGTACAAATTTTTATTTACATGCCTTTGAACTGTTTTTGTTATCAACCCTTCCACCCAGTGAAAAAAAAGTGTCTCAACCAAATAAAGCATTTTGAGGGCACCCAGGCCCATGGGCAGAATTTTTAAGATACATGGATTTTCTCCCGGGGAGTGCTCCCCCTTATATAAGCCAGTTAGGTATGTGCCATCCCAAAGGGTTTGGTTTTTGCACCTTTTTGTTCTAAAAACGGCCAGGACTTGGAGAACCGGGGGGCACACCCCTAGGTAATCACTGATTGCAAAAACCTATCACAGTAAACTTTTGACTGCCACATAAAGAGTTGTTCATCAAATCATGCCTGACTTCATCATTTTGTTATGCTTTAACTAATTTTTTTTGTCTTCTTCACTCATGTAGGTAACAATCCGATAACAATCTAACAGAAGTACAGTCATTAATTGTTCAGTGCTGACCCAACTAAACCAGGATATTCTTAAAACGGTAAGAGCTTGGAGCTTGTAACAACCCCAATCTCGATCTTTATTTAGTGACATAACAAATTATGGCTCCTAAGGATCTTCCTTGAAGTATTAGAATACATGAAAATTCTGTTATTTATAAAAAGCAATTTACATCTATAAGGTCAAGTAAGGTTCCAACTCAGCGAAAATATTTATATAAAGTTAATAAACTCTGCCCATTGGCAGTGGTTTTGCATAAAGGTTCTATACCAGATACCACTCTGAGAACACACAGAAAGTAATGCTACTCCCTGGACTGATACCTTAGTCTATGATAGTTGGGACTTACTGTTTTTAACTAACTATTTTAAAAACACCAGATAACCTGGGATTTCCAACACATCAAGCAAGGGAGACAGGAGCTCCCTGGACTGATACTTCAGTTTGTCATAGTTATTACTTACTATTAAAACTAGATAAACTGGGATTCCAACCCAGCAAGCAAGGGAGACAGGACCTCCCTGGACTGATACTTCAGTCAATAATAGATGAAACTTCCTATTAAAACTAGATAAACTGGGATTCCAACCCAGCAAGCAAGGAAGGCAGGAACTCCCTGGACTGATACTTCAATCAGTAATAGATGAAACTTACTATTAAAACTAGGTAAACTGGGATTCCAACCCAGCAAGCAAGGGAGACAAGAGCTCCCTGGACTGATACTTCAGTCAATAATAGATCAAACATATACTATTAAAACTAGATAAACTGGGGTTCCAACCCAGCAAACACGGGAGACAAGAGCTCCCTGGACTGATACTTCAGTCAATAATAGATGAAACATACTATTAAAACTAGATAAACTGGGATTCCAACCCAGTAAGCAAGGGAGACAGGAGCTCCCTGGACTGATACTTCAGTCAATAATAGATGAAACTTACTATTAAAACTAGATAAACTGGGATTCCAACCCAGCAAGCAAGGGAGACAGGAGCTCCCTGGACTGATACTTCAGTCAATAATAGATGAAACTTACTATTAAAACTAGATAAACTGGAATTCCAACCCAGCAAGCAAGGGAGACAGGAGCTCCCTGGACTGATACTTCAGTCAATAATAGATGAAACTTACTATTAAAACTAGATAAACTGGGATTCCAACCCAGGAAGCAAGGGAGACAGGAGCTCCCTGGACTGATACTTCAGTCAATAATACATGAAACTTACTATTAAAACTAGATAAACTGGGATTCCAACCCAGCAAGCAAGGGAGAAAAGAGCTCCCTGGACTGATACTTCAGTCAATAATAGATGAAACGTACTATTAAAACTAGATAAACCGGGATTCCAACCCAGCAAGCAAGGGAGACAGGAGCTCCCTGGACTGATACTTCAGTCAATAATAGATGAAACATATACTATTAAAACTAGATAAACTGGGATTCCAACCCAGCAAGCAAGGGAGACAAGAGCTCCCTGGACTAATACTTCAGTCAATAATAGATGAAGGTTACTATTAAAACTAGATAAACTGGGATTCCAACCCAGCAAGCAAGGGAGACAAGAGCTCCCTGGACTGATACTTCAGTCAATAATAGCTGAAACTTACTATTAAAACAAGATAAACTGGGATTCCAACCCAGTAAGCAAGGGAGACAGGAGCTCCCTGGACTGAAACTTCAGTCTATCATAGTTATTACTTACTATTAAAACTAGATAAACTGGGATTCCAACCCAGCAAGCAAGGGAGACAGGAGCTCCCTGGACTGATACTTCAGTCAATAATAGATGAAACTTACTATTAAAACTAGATAAACTGGGATTCCAACCCAGCAAGCAAGGGAGGCAGGAGCTCCCTGGACTGATACTTCAGTCAATAATAGATAAAACTTACTATTAAAACTAGATAAACTGGGATTGCAATCCAGCAAGCAAGGGAGACAAGAGCTCCCTGGACTGATACTTCAGTCAATAATAGATGAAACGTACTATTAAAACTAGATAAACTGGGATTCCAACCCAGCAAGCAAGGGAGACAGGAGCTTTCTGGTCCGATACTTCAGTGTATGGTAGATGAAACTTACTATTAAAAGTAGATAAACTGGGATTCCAACCCTGGAAGCAAGGGAGACAGGGGCTCCCTGGACTGATGCTTCAGTCAATGAGAGATGAAACTTACTGTTAAAAGAAGTCAGTCACTGGGATTCCAACGCAGCAAGCAAGTTTAGTAATACCTGGAGTGATACTACAGTTTATTATGCATGTAGTTTAACCTTTAATACCCTTATTCTAGAACTAAATGAAGTGCATTACATCTTAGCTTTAATTATTTTTTTTAGTATTATACTGTTCGAGCAGCAGCAATTCTTTCCATAAATTTTGATAGCAGCCATAAGTAGAAAAAGGGGATTCCAAAAACAAAGTTGGCCTATTGTTGCCAATACAGTGGCCTCAAGCCAGGTGGAGGGTTTCATGCGTTCCACAGGGTGCTTGTCTACTTATGCGGTGAGAGTGGTACTGAGCCATCAGTTACACCGAGGTCTGGGTGGTTGCCTCTGACCGACAGGTGATGTATTGGGCGCCTGATAAGAAAACGGCCGTTGCACTCAAGTGCTTATCAACTCATTCTGCAGTGGTGCAGAGCAGTTTACGAGTGATACTGCACGGGCCGTAGCGGTGTACCGCTCATCGGGTCATGCCATATCTCAGCTTCTGTCACGAAACAAGTCTGTTGTAAGTGCTCATGCCCAGGTGTCCCGGTATGGACGCAAGCGGAGGTCCCCCAATTTATATGGCCGTTGCACTCACGTGCGTCTCGGATACTGCACAGGCCATACACCCTTTTCTTTAGGTCATGCCATATCTCAGCTTCTGTAACAAAACAGGTTTTTTCAAGCCTTTAAATTTTTTTTTTGTTCTTGTTTAAATAAAAAAAAACCCCGGTTATTTTAGGTATAATTTCAGATTTTCTTGGAAAGAGTTGTTGCTCTAAGAAGATTATCACTGGTTTTCAAAGTAATATGCACTTAGGGCAACTGGGATTCCAGCCCAGCAAGGAAGGGAGACAGGAGCTCCCTGGACTAATACTTCAGTCAATAATAGATGAAACTTCCTATTAAAACTAGATAAACTGGGATTCCAACCCAGCAAGCAAGGGAGATAGGCGCTCCCTGGACTAATACTTCAGTCAATAATACATGAAACTTCCTATTAAAACTAGATAAACTGGGATTCCAACCCAGCAAGCAAGGGAGATAGGCGCTCCCTGGACTGATACTTCAGTCAATAATAGGTGAAACTTACCATTAAAACTAGATAAACTGGGATTCCAACCCAGCAAGCAAGGGAGACAGGAGCTTCCCGGACTGATACTTCAGTCAATAATAGATGAACTTACTATTAAAACTAGGTAAACTGGGATTCCAACCCAGGAAGCAAGGGAGACAGGAGCTCCCTGGACTGATACTTCAGTCGATAATAGATGAAAGTTACTATTAAAACAAGGTAAACTGGGATTCCAACCCAGCAAGCAATGGAGACAGGCGCTCCCTGGACTGATACTTCAGTCAATAATAGATGAACTTACTATTAAACCTAGATAAACTGGGATTCCAACCCAGCAAGCAAGGGAGACAGGAGCTCCCTGGACTGATACTTCAGTCAATAATAGATGAAACTTACTATTAAAACTAGATAAACTGGGATTCCAACCCAGCAAGCAAGGGAGACAGGCACTCCCTGGACTGATACTTCAGTCAATAATAGGTGAAACTTACCATTAAAACTAGATAAACTGGGATTCCAACCCAGCAAGCAAGGGAGACAGGAGCTCCCTGGACTGATACTTCAATCAATAATAGAATGATGAAACTTACTTTTAAAAGTAGATACACTGGGATTCCAACCCAGGAAGCAAGGGAGACAGAAGCTCCCTGGACTTACACTTCAGTCAATAATAGATGAAAGATACTATTAAAACTAGCTAAACTGGGATTCCAATCCAGTAAGCAAGGGAGACAGGAGCTCCCTGGACTGATACTTCAGTCAATAATAGTTGAAAACATACTATTAAAACTAGGTAAACTGGGATTCCAACCCAGCGAGCAAGGGAGACAGGAGCTCCCTGGACTGATACTTCAGTCAATGAGAGATGAAACTTACTGTTAAAAGAAGTCAGTCACTGGGATTCCAACGCAGGATCAAGATTAGTAATACCTGGAGTGATACTACAGTCTATTATGCATGTAGTTTAACCTTTAATACCCTTATTCTAGAACTAAATGAAGTGCATTACATCTTAGCTTTTATTATTTTTTATAGTATTATACTGTTCGAGCAGCAGCAATTCTTTCAATAAATTTTGATAGCAGCCATAAGTAGAAAAAGGGGATTCCAAACACAAAGTTGGCCTATTGTTGCCAATACATTGGCCTCAAGCCAGGTGGAGGGTTTCGTGCGTTCCACAGGGTGCTTGTCTACTTATGCGGTGAGAGTGGTACTGAGCCATCAGTTACACCGAGGTCTGGGTGGTTGCCTCTGACCGACAGGTGATGTATTGGGCGCCTGATAAGAAAACGGCCGTTGCACTCAAGTGCTTATCAGCTCATTCTGCAGTGGTGCAGAGCAGTTTACGAGTGATACTGCACGGGCCGTAGCGGTGTACCGCTCATCGGGTCATGCCATATCTCAGCTTCTGTCACGAAACAAGTCTGTTGTAAGTGCTCATGCCCAGGTGTCCCGGTATGGACGCAAGCGGAGGTCCCCCAATTTATATGGCCGTTGCACTCACGTGCGTCTCGGATACTGCACAGGCCATACTCCCTTTTCTTTAGGTCATGCCATATCTCAGCTTCTGTAACGAAACAGCTTTTTTCAAGCCTTTAAATTTTTTTTTGTTCTTGTTTAAATAAAAAAAATCTCAGTTATTTTAGGTATAATTTCAGATTTTTTTGGAAAGAGTTGTTGCTCTAAGAAGATTATCACTGATTTTCAAAGTAATATGCACTTAGTGCAACTGGGATTCCAGCCCAGCAAGGAAGGGAGACAGGAGCTCCCTGGACTGATACTTCAGTCAATAATAGATAAAACTTTCTATGAAAACTAGATAAACTGGGATTCCAACCCAGCCAGCAGGGGAGAAAGCAGCTCCCTGGACTGATACTTCAGTCAATAATATATGAAACTTACTATTAAAACTAGATAAACTGGGATTCCAACCCAGCAAGCAAGGGAGACAGGAGCTCCCTGGACTGATACTTCAGTCAATAATAGATGAAACTTACTATTAAAACTAGATAAACTGGGATTCCAACCCAGCAAGCAAGGGAGACAGGCGCTCCCTGGACTGATACTTCAGTCAATAATAGGTGAAACTTACCATTAAAACTAGATAAACTGGGATTCCAACCCAGTAAGCAAGGGAGACAGGAGCTTCGTGGACTGATACTTCAGTCAATAATAGATGAAACTTACTATTAAAACTAGATAAACTGGGATTTCAACCCAGTAAGCAAGGGAGACAGGAGCTCCCTGGACTGATACTTCAGTCAATAATAGATGAAACATATACTATTAAACCTAGATAAACTGGGATTCCAACCCAGCAAGCAAGGGAGACAGGAGCTCCCTGGACTGATACTTCAGTCAATAATAAAATGAAACTTACTGCTAAAACTGGATAAACTGGGATTCCAACCCAGCAAGCAAGGGAGACAGGAGCTGCCTGGACTTATACTTCAGTTAATAATACATGAAACTTACTATTGAAAATAGATAAACTGGGATTCCAACCCAGCAAGCAAGGGAGACAGGAGCTCCCTGGACTGATACTTCAATCAATAATAGATGAAACTTACTATTAAAACTAGATAAACTGGGATTCCAACCCAGCGAGCAAGGGAGACAGGCGGTCCCTGGACTGATACTTCAGTCAATAATAGATGAAACGTACTATTAAAAGTAGATAAACTGGGATTCCAACCTAGCAAGCAAGGGAGACAGGAGCTCCCTGGACTGATACTTCAGTCAGTAATAGATGAAACTTACTTTTAAAACTAGATAAACTGGGATTCCAACCCAGCAAGCAAGGAAGACAAGAGCTCCCTGGACTGATACTTCAGTCAATAATAGATGAAAGTTACTATTAAAACTAGGTAAACTGGGATTCCAACCCAGCAAGCAAGGGAGACACGAGCTCCCTGGACTGATACTTCAGTCATTAATAGATGAAACGTACTATTAAAACTAGATAAACTGGGATTCCAACCCAGCAAGCAAGGGAGACAGGAGCTCCCTGGACTGATACTTCAATCAATAATAGAATGATGAAACTTACTTTTAAAAGTAGATACACTGGGATTCCAACCCAGGAAGCAAGGGAGACAGAAGCTCCCTGGACTTACACTTCAGTCAATAATAGATGAAACTTACTATTAAAATTAGATAAACTGGGATTCCAACCCAGTAAGCAAGGGAGACAGGAGCTCCTTGGACTGATACTTCAGTCAATAATAGTGGAAACGTACTATTAAAACTAGATGAACTGGGATTCCAACCCAGTAAGCAAGGGAGACAGGAGCTCCCTGGACTGATACTTCAGTCAATAATAGATGAAACGTACTCTTAAAAGTAGATAAACTGGGATTCCAGCCCAGCAAGTAAGGGAGACAAGAGCTCCCTGGACTGATACTTCAGTCAATAATAGATGAAACATACTCTTAAAAGTAGATAAACTGGGATTCGAACCCAGCAAGCAAGGGAGACAGGGGCTTCCTGGACTGATACTTCAGTCAATAATAGATGAAACTTACTATTAAAACTAGATAAACTGGGATTCCAACTCAGTAAGCAAGGGAGACAAGAGCTCCCTGGACTGAAACTTCAGTCAATAATAGATGAAACGTACTATTAAAACTAGATAAACTGGGATTCCAACCCAGGAAGCAAGGGAGACAGGAGCTCCCTGGACTGATACTTCAGTCAATAATAGATGAAACTTACTATTAAAACTAGATAAACTGGGATACCAACCCAGCAAGCAAGGGAGACAAGAGCTCCCTGGACTGATATTTAAGTCAGTAATAGATGAAAGTTAGTATTAAAGCTAGGTAAACTGGGATTCCAACCCAGCAAGCAAGGGAGACAAGAGCTCCCTGGACTGATACTTCAGTCATTAATAGAAGAAACGTACTATTAAAACTAGATAAACTGGGATTCCAACCCAGTAAGCAAGGGAGACAGGAGCTCCCTAGACTGATACTTCAGTCAATAATAGATGAAACTTACTATTAAAACTAGATAAACTGGGATTCCAACCCAGCAAGCAAGGGAGACAGGAGCTCCCTGGACTGATACTTCAGTCAATAATAGATGAAACATATACTATTAAAACTAGATAAACTGGGATTCCAACCCAGCAAGCAAGGGAGACAGGAGCTCCCTGGACTGATACTTCAGTCAATAATAAAATGAAACTTACTGCTAAAACTAGATAAACTGGGATTCCAACCCAGCAAGCAAGGGAGACAGGAGCTCCCTGGACTGATACTTCAGTCAATAATAGATGAAACTTACTATTAAAAGTAGATAAACTGGGATACCAACCCAGCAAGCAAGGGAGACAAGAGCTCCCTGAAACGTACTATTAAAAGTAGATAAAGTGGGATTCCAACCCAGCAAGCAAGGGAGACAGGAGCTCCCTGGACTGATACTTCAGTCAATAATGGATGAAACGTACTATTAAAACTAGATAAACTGGGATTCCAACCCAGCAAGCAAGGGAGACAGGAGCTCCCCGGACTTATACTTCAGTCAATAATAGATGAAACTTACTATTAAAACAAGATAAACTGGGATTCCAACCCAGCAAGCAAGGGAGACAAGAGGTCCCTGGACTGATACTTCAGTCAATAATAGATGAAAGTTACTATTAAAACTAGGTAAACTGGGATTCCAACCCAGCAAGCAAGGGAGACACGAGCTCCCTGGACTGATACTTCAGTCATTAATAGATGAAACGTACTATTAAAACTAGATAAACTGGGATTCCAACCCAGCAAGCAAGGGAGACAGGAGCTCCCTGGACTGATACTTCAGTCAATAATAGAATGATGAAACTTACTTTTAAAAGTAGATAAACTGGGATTCCAACCCAGGAAGCAAGGGAGACAGAAGCTCCCTGGACTTACACTTCAGTCAATAATAGATGAAACTTACTATTAAAACTAGATAAACTGGGATTCCAACCCAGTAAGCAAGGGAGACAGGAGCTCCCTGGACTGATACTTCAGTCAATAATAGTTGAAACGTACTATTAAAACTAGATAAACTGGGATTCCAACCCAGTAAGCAAGGGAGACAAGAGCTCCCTGGACTGATATTTAAGTCAGTAATAGATGAAAGTTACTATTAAAGCTAGGTAAACTGGGATTCCAGCCCAGCAAGTAAGGGAGACAAGAGCTCCCTGGACTGATACTTCAGTCAATAATAGATGAAACATACTATTAAAAGTAGATAAACTGGGATTCCAACCCAGCAAGCAAGGGAGACAAGAGCTCCCTGGACTGATACTTTAGTCAATAATAGATAAGACTTAGTATTAAAACTAGATAAACTGGGATTCCATCCCAGCAAGTAAGGGAGACAGGAGCTCCCTGGACTGATACTTCAGTCAATAATAGATGAAACTTACTATTAAAGCTAGATTAACTGGGATTCCAACCCAGCTAGCATTGGAGTCAGGAGCTCCCTGGACTTATACTTCAGTCTATCCTAGTTATTACTTACTGTTAAAATTAGAGAAACTGGGACTCCAACCCAGCAAGCAATGGAGTCAGGAGCTCCCTGGACTGATTCTTCGGTCTATCGTAGTTATTAGTTACCATTAAAATTAGATAAACTGGGGTTCCAACCCAGCAAGCAAGGGAGATAGGTGCTCTCTAGTCTGACAAGAAGAACACCTAATTGCATTTGCCCGAAATCTGCTGTTAACTAGGACCAATGAGATATACCCTTAGAAAGTTTCCACTTGAGAAGATATGAGAACTCCGTAATGTCTTTGCCTGATATCTGCTCTTATCTAGGGCCAATGGGATTTGCAGTCACAATCATTTCATTTGAGGAAAGAACCTTTTTCACTTTAATTTAATTTAGTTTTAATTGCGTATAATTTCTTTTAACATGGAAGAGACACTTCATGGATCTGTTAAATAAACTATTAATACTATTATTACTATTATTATTAATATTACTATTATTATAACTATTATTGTTATTATTATTATTATTACTGATATACCATTAGATGATTAGATACCATAAAAAGATAATAACTGTACTGATTCAAGTTGTATATTTCACTTAGTAAACATAGATTTGAACCTTGAAATTACTTAAGTGCTTGACTCTCCACTGTTATATCTTTGCAGGTTATAACGAGGCTTTTGCTGGACGCTTTAAATATATCTCAGTGGAGACGTCGGAAATGAATTTATTGTATTTATAGTGTAACTTTACGATTTTGCGCAGTTGTTGTTACAGGGAAAATGCTGTTTGAGGGTTCAATGAGATTCGACTTGTCTTTATTGATATGAAAAATATCTGCTGATGGTCAGATATTTTTAGTGGGCGTTAAACTTCATTTTATATCTATATCCCTTATCGTTGCGAATCAAAATAGGTTGTATTAGTTCAATTTAAGTCTGTTGGTAACATCCTCTAAGCGCTTGTTTCTTTTTCTTTAGCTTTTTTATTTTCTAGATTGAATCTACCCGGTTATTTTTGTTCATCACGTGGGGAGGCGTTTTCTACGCTTCAGGTATAATGGATATGTTTGTTTGCATTAATCCCCGATTTTCTCCTTAGGCCTACATATCGAGCACCACGAGGAGCTCGAGGAGTTTGGATTGATGTACTCTAGAATAAGAGTACAACATCGTAAGAGTAGTACCCGGCGTCGTTTGCTAGTGATAGAATAGAGAACAAAGAAGTGAACGACTGAAATGAACTCATTTATCCCTATTGCAAACGGGAATCAGTAATATAAGTTTCTTATATGTGCTTATTGCAAAAAGTACGGTTAAACCCGAAAATGGTGTTGGGTGTGGCAGAAGTACCTGAATTTTTTATCATTGAGATGCTTTATTTATATTTTGCTAACAGACATTTACTTTGGTCGTTATATTTACTGAGTTCAGGTTCTTTTTCAAATTACACTTTTATAGTTTACAAAGATTGGAAAATCGTCATCTGGTGGAACCTGTACTACCTGATGAAACAACACCAACAATGAAAGGTACGTTATCTCTTGAGGAGAATTTGGATAACCCCAGTTTTTACAACTGGGTTCGAGCAGGGGCGGTCCAAAAAATAGCGGCCTGTTAGACTGTAAATCCCTTAAATAAATGACCAACGCGAAAAACAAGAGCACAAAATAACCAGTACTCAAATTTCTCCATTTCTACAATCTACTGATAAAAATTGCACTTTCTTCTGTTTTAGGACGTGTTTCTCAAAACTGGACATCAGAAGAAGTGCCTGCGTCTTACAGTACAGCAAAGTGAAGATGTAGCAATCAAGATGAAATACTTTAGAAACTTAATCTAATAATTTTTCCCAGCAATATAAAAGCTAAATAAAACTTTGTAGAATTCTGCTACAGTAGCAGTCAACATTTTCGAAGGAGGACTTTCCTTCTTACGGAAATGACTGCTACTGGGCAACAACAGCGTTTTCTTTTGTTCTGAAATTATTAAGGATAGGTCCAATCAAAATATCTTTAATGTTGATCGAGAAATATGATGGGCTCTCGCCAACCTTTGGGGCAGTGTTGCTAACTTGCGAGTACTATTGTCGGCTTCTTCGGCTTTCGTTAATCTTCGTGCTCCTAAACGCTTAAATGACTGTAATGAACACTCTTGCCATTTTTTGGTGGTACTTTCGGTAACTTTCGACCATTATCTTTGGCTACTTCGGCTTGCGTTAATCTTCATATACTAAACCTACCATAACTTCGAACACGCGCTATGGTATGCCTTTACAAAATTGCGTTTAGTGACATGAACACTGTCCCCATATGTCGGGGATACTTTCGGCAACTTTTGACCACTATTGTTGACTTCTACGGCCTGTGTTAAATCTTCATGTTTATTTACCATTTCTACGAACCGGCGCTATCGTAAATGGCGATATGCCTTTGTCAAAATGAATACTCTCGCCGTCTTTTGACCACTATCATTGACTAATTTGACTTGCGATAATCTTCATAGAGACTTATGACATTACTTCAAACCCGCGCTATTGCCAACTTGTAAACACTATAATGTTAATAAACGCCCTTGCAATCCTTCGGGGTACTTTTGGTAACCATCGACCACTATCATTGACTACTTCTGCTTGCGTCAATCTTCAAAGACACTTATCATTACTTCGAACGCACGCTATCGCCAACTTGTGAACATTGTAATGTTAACGAACACCCTCTCAATCCTTCGAGGTACTTTCGGTAACTTTCGACCACTATCCTTGACTACTTCGACTTGCGTCAATCTCCATAGAGACTTACAGCATTACTTGGAACGCGCGCTATCGCCAACTTGAGAACACTATAATGTTAATGAACACCCTCGCAATCCTTCGGGGTACTTTTGGTAACTTCCGACCACTATCACTGACTACTTCGACTTGCGTCAATCTTCATATAGAGACGTACCATTACTTCGAACGCGCGCTATCGCCAACTTGAGAACACTATAATGTTAATGAACACCCTTGCAATCCTTCGGGGTACTTTTCGGTAACTTTCGACCACTATCATTGACTACTTCGACTTGCGTCAATCTTCATAGAGACTTATACCATTACTTGGAACGCGCGCTATCGCCAACTTGAGAACACTATAATGTTAATGAACACCCTCGCAATCCTTCGGGGTACTTTTCGGTAACTTTCGACCACTATCATTGACTACTTCGACTTGCGTCAAGACACTTACCGCGCTATCGCCAACTTGTGAACATTGTAATGTTAATGAACACCCTCGCAATCCTTCGGGGCTACTTTTGGTAACTTCCGACCGCTATCACTGACTACTTGGACTTGCGTCAATCTTGATATAGAGACTTACCATTACTTCGAACGCGCGGTATCTTCAACTTGTAAACACTATAATGTTAATGAACACCCTCGCAATCCTTCGGGGTACTTTTCGGTAACTTTCGACCACTATCATTGACTACTTCGGCTTGCGTCGAGACACTTACCACGCTATCGCCAACTTGTAAACATTGTAATGTTAATGAACACCCTCGCAATCCTACGGGGTACTTTTGGTAACTTCCGACCACTATCACTGACTACTACGACTTGCGTCAATCTTCATAGAGACTTGCCATTAATTAGCTATTACTTCGAACGCGCGCTATCTCCAACTTGTGAACACTATAATGTTAATGAACACCCTCGGAATCCTTCAGGGTACTTTTCGGTAACTCTCGACCACTATCATTAACTACTTCGACTTGCGTCAATCTTCATAGAGACTTACAGCATTACTTGGAACGCGCGCTATCGCCAACTTGTGAACACTATAATGTTAATGAACACCCTTGCAATCCTTCGGGGTACTTTTCGGTAACTTAGTTCGACCACTATCATTGACTACTTCGGCTTGCGTCGAGACACTTACTGCACTATCGCCGACTTGTGAACTTTGTAATGTTAATGAACACCATCGCAATCCTTCGGGGGTACTTTTGGTAACTTCCGACCGCTATCACTGACTACTTGGACTTGCGTCAATCTTCATATATAGACGTACCATTACTTCGAACGCGCGCTATCTCCAACTTGTGAACACTATAATGTTAATGAACACCCTTGCAATCCTTCGGGGTACTTTTCGGTAACTTAGTTCGACCACTATCATTGACTACTTCGGCTTGCGTCGAGACACTTACCGCGCTATCGCCAACTTGTGAACATTGTAATGTTAATAAACACCCTCGCAATGTTTCGGGGGTACTTTTGGTAACTTCCGACCGCTATCACTGACTACTTGGACTTGCGTCAATCTTCATATATAGACGTACCATTACTTCGAACGCGCGCTATCTCCAACTTGTGAACACTATAATGTTAATGAACACCCTCGCAATCCTTCGGGGTACTTTTCGGTAACTCTCGACCACTATCATTGACTACTTCGACTTGCGTCAATCTTCATAGAGACTTATAGCATTACTTGGAACGCGCGCTATCTCCAACTTGTACACACTATAATGTTAATGAACACCCTTGCCTTCCTTCGGGGTACTTTTCGGTAACTCTCGACCACTATCATCAACTACTTCGACTTGCGTCAATCTTCATAGAGACTTATAGCATTACTTGGAACGCGCGCTATCTCCAACTTGTACACACTATAATGTTAATGAACACCCTTGCAATCCTTCGGGGTACTTTTCGGTACCTCTCGACCACTATCATCAACTACTTCGACTTGCGTCAATCTTCATAGAGACTTATAGCATTACTTGGAACGCGCGCTATCGCCAACTTGTGAACACTACAATGTTAATGAACACCCTCGCAATCCTTCGGGGGTACTTTTGGTAACTTCCGACCGGTATCACTGACTACTTGGACTTGCGTCAATCTTCATATATAGACGTACCATTACTTCGAACGCGCGCTATCTCCAACTTGTGAACACTATAATGTTAATGAACACCCTCGCAATCCTTCGGGGTACTTTTCGATAACTCTCGACCACTATCATTAACTACTTCGACTTGCGTCAATCTTCATACAGACTTATAGCATTACTTGGAACGCGCTATTGCCAACTTGTGAACACTATAATGTTAATGAACACCCTCGCAATCCTTCGGGGTACTTTTCGGTAACTCTCGACCACTATCATTGACTACTTCGACTTGCGTCAATCTTCATAGAGACTTATAGCATTACTTGGAACGCGCGCTATCGCCAACTTGTGAACACTACAATGTTAATGAACACCCTTGCATTCCTTCGGGGTACTTTTCGGTAACTCTCGACCACTATCATTAACTACTTCGGCTTGCGTCGAGACACTTACCGCGCTATCGCCAACTTGTGAACATTGTAATGTTAATGAACACCCTCGCAATCTTTCGGGGGTACTTTTGGTAACTTCCGACCTCTATCACTGACTACTTGGACTTGCGTCAATCTTCATATAGAGACGTACCATTACTTCGAACGCGCACTATCTCCAACTTGTGAACACTATAATGTTAATGAACACCCTCGCAATCCTTCGGGGTACTTTTCGGTACCTCTCGACCACTATCACTAACTACTTCGACTTGCGTCAATCTTCATAGAGACTTATAGCATTACTTGGAACGCGCGCTATCGCCAACTTGTGAACACTAAAATGTTAATGAACACCCTCGCAATCCTTCGGGGGTACTTTTGGTAACTTCCGACCGCTATCACTGACTACTTGGACTTGCGTCAATCTTCATATAGAGACGTACCATTACTTCGAACGCGCGCTATCTCCAACTTGTGAACACTATAATGTTAATGAACACCCTCGCAATCCTTCGGGGTACTCTTCGGTACCTCTCGACCACTATCATTAACTACTTCGACTTGCGTCAATCTTCATAGAGACTTATAGCATTACTTGGAACGCGCTATTGCCAACTTGTGAACACTATAATGTTAATGAACACCCTCGCAATCCTTCGGGGTACTTTTCGGTAACTCTCGACCACTATCATTGACTACTTCGACTTGCGTCAATCTTCATAGAGACTTATAGCATTACTTGGAACTTGTGAATACTATAATGTTAATGAACACCCTTGCAATTCTTCGGGGTACTTTTCGGTAACTTAGTTCGACCACTCTCATCGACTACTTCGGCCTGCGTCGAGACACTTACCGCGCTATCGCCAACTTGTGAACATTGTAATGTTAATGAACACCCTCGCAATCTTTCGGGGGTACTTTTGGTAACTTCCGACCGCTATCACTGACTACTTGGACTGGCGTCAATCTTCTTATAGAGACGTACCATTACTTCGAACGCACGCTATCTCCAACTTGTGAACACTATAATGTTAATGAACACCCTTGCAATCCTTCGGGGTACTTTTCGGTAACTTTCGACCACTATCATTGACTACTTCGGCTTGCTTCAAGACACTTACCGCGCTATCGCCAATTTGTGAACATTGTAATGTTAATGAACACCCTCGCTATCCTTCGTGGTACTTTTGGTAACTTCCGATCACTATCACTGACTAATACGACTTGCGTCAATCTTCATAGACACTTGCCATTAATTAGCCCTTACTTCGAACGCGCGCTATCTCCAACTTGTGAATACTATAATGTTAATGAACACCCTTGCAATCCTTCGGGGTACTTTTCGGTCACTTAGTTCGACCACTCTCATCGACTACTTCGGCTTGCGTCGAGACACTTACCGCGGTATCGCCAACTTGTGAATACTATAATGTTAATGAACACCCTCGCAATCCTTCGGGGTACTTTTGGTAACTTCCGA